GGTAAATATCATAATTGCTAAAAAGAGTTGCAAGTGATTGCCTCTGGTGAACATATGGGGAAGGAAAGGGACAGAGTGCAACTGTTACTTTTATTATAAGCTGTGGCAAAATAGAAAAAAAGAAACAAAATAAAAACCACACAAAAAAAAGGTTGCCTCTATAGTATCCACTCATTCTACTTTCCTTATTAATAGAATCATAGACATGTTAATCAGGGAAAAAATATTTTTTGAAGTTTCTAACATTCTTTTCAGATGGTGATAGCTAACAAAATGGAAATGCAAGTTACTGAGTAGGATTGAGGGCAAGATGTTTTTGGCTTATTCTGCTACATGGAACTCAGATGTGATGGCTGACACTCCAGCAACTATTTTGGATCATGAGGCAAACTTGAGCTAAGAAGATAAGGATGACTGATTAGAAAGAGTAAATGATGGTACAATGATGATAAAGCTACTACATCATCCCTTTACTATCCATTCAAAACTATTCACATGAAAAATAAATGTGTAGTATTGTTTAAGCTATTTAAGTCAGGTCTCTAGAAGCAGCAAAATGCAATCCCTGACATTTAAGTCTTACAATATGACTTTTTAAACCAAGTACATATAAAACACATACAAAAATTAAAAGTAAATCAAAAAAAATTCCAGTGAATAACAAAAACAGTAAAAATGTATAATTATACCCTAAAAAACTAAAGAAACTATAAATATTATGTAAAATGTTATATCAAGACTAAGAGATAAGTGTTACATTTTCCTAAAACAATTAAATTTTAATTTCTTTAAAGTAAGAGGCATTAGCACATATTTTATAAAATCATAAGGTGAACCCTTTTTCTGTTAGTGTCTCTTAGGTACTGTGCCTGGTACACAGTAGCTGCATAAAATTATTTGAGGATCATTGAATAATTTTTTTAAAGACATGAAGTATCCACTAAGAGTTCCAAAGTAAGGATATAGCAAGGTTTCTCAACTTCGGCACTACTGATATTTTGGACCAGATTAATTCTTTGCTGTTAGGGCAGCCCTGTGCACTGTAGGGTGTTCAACAGCATCTCTGGCCTCTACCCACTAGATCCTACTAGCAACCCCTCAATTAAGACAATCAAAAATATCTCCAGACATTGCCCAATGTCCCCTGCAGGAAATAAAATTTGAAAAAAAAAATATATATGGTTGTTTTTGGAAATCATTTAGTGCTCGGTCAGCAACATTTGGCTTTCCTAGTTAAATAACAAAATTTTAGAATTATAACATTTCTAAATTATCTCTACAGTTTACTGAGGGATACAAACTATAAGTGACCTACAGATTAGAGTATCCCTAACATCCCTCTTAAACCTTCAGAGGATTTCACATGAGAGAAATATTAATAGCATCTACCTATTTAAGCCTATCTATGTGCTAGGTACAGTACTGAGCACTTCATGTTTATTCTCTCATTTTATACTCATGACATCCTCATGGGATGGCTATTAACCCCACCACAATAAAAAACAACTTTAAAGTCTATTTTAATCAACATATCGAAGTGCTCCCAGAAATACTTACTTATCACGCACTATATTCATTCTGGCTCTGAGCTAAGAAGAAGGTATCTTTACTTGCTTAATTTACAATTTATGATAAAAAAATTTCTATTTTCAATATATCTAGCAACAAAATTAGGTTGAATTATCACAACCCTCAGGAACTGAGGAAACGTTCTTAGCACCTAACAAGTCAGAGAAATAATAATTACTTGACTGTTCCTTGAAGTATTTTTTACACTGTGGCATAATGCAAGAGTACTTTTTCAATTTTTCGTACATGATTCCCTGAGTACTTCCAGTAACTTTTTCTCTTCTATACAACTTGACCAAACAAACAAAAAAAATCACTTAACAATTATCTGAGGATTTATAACTACCATCTGTCTTTTAGTAGAAATTGAAGGCTGGGATCAAAATCCCAGCTTGTTCATCTGACAAGTTAACTTGTTCAGGCCTCAATTTCAACTATGTTACTTGCATAACAAGGCCTATCCGAAGGCCTTAAGAGTTAGTAGGTCCTCAATAAAAATTACATTCCCCTTCCTTTCATCCTCAAATTAAATATTAGCTAAGGGTCAATTCAATTTAAGCATTTGTTGCAGGTCTACTAATAAGAGTGAAGAGAGGATATGATGGAGCAGTCAGTCTAACATTATTCAATGTTAACTGGTAATTGGTAATTAACATTGTTAATCTCCCAAATCCATCATCTCAAAATTGTGTTGTAGCCTAAGGAACCATTCCCCTAGTTTGAGATTTAATAATTACTGGTATTGTTTCTCAAATAGAAAAGTATACCATAAAATGCATTGAGCACATGCATAATTTATCACTTATATTATCTGGAGTCTTCTGTTTTACTCTTCCTTGTGGTAAAAGACAGAACCATTCTTGAAAAGAAGTGTTCCTTCCTCTCCCTTCACCCGCACAACCAACTGCCAAGAAATTTTGATTCATATTTCTCTCTAAAAGGAGGAAGATAAATTGGAGCCTTTCTTCTCAACCCCACAAAGCTGTGTGTATAATTCGTATATTTAGTTAACTGTCACCAACCCAAGTGCATATTATCCATTTTACAGATTACTCAAAAGTAAGTCACTTATTAATGAAATAAGTTTCTCTTAGTGAATAGTAGGAAACCAAATGTTTAAAAAGAAACAATCTTTGAGAATTAGATTATATAATCCACTGCTTCCCTTACTGGCAAACAAAACAAAACTACTATACTAGAATGTTATTAATCAATCAGTAAAGTTCAACTTAATACATGTAACATTTTATTTCATCTTAAAGTTTTATTACAAAAAAAGACTTCATAAAGCTCACCTGCAAGGTGGAACCAGGACAGGAACCCTCAGCTCTACTGGTAATCTATAGTACTGTAAAATATCTTATGAGGTTTCCGGTAAAAGTTGGTAAGATGGAAGTATGTCAGTTTAACATTAATAATTTAGCAATATAAAATAAAAGTTTAAGTTCTTCCTATTTAGTTTTATTTTCCTGGATATTTTAGGAAGCAGTGGAGTTTTATAAAATAGTCAACTTCATTTGTTCTTAAAATAATTTACTGTCACTATTCTGATACTGTATTTCACCAGCTAAATTTATTCATTTGTTCTTAAAGTTGACTTCAAGAAATAGACTAAAGAGTAGTTAAAAGTCCTCCAAAAATGTTCTGGCTCTCAAATAAAATTTCAAATTCTACAGTAATTAAGGGTTATCTGTCAAGTAAATTAACAAAGCTAAATGTAACCAAAACCAACTTGCTCATTAATGCTATAAAAAGCAAAACATAGAAAAAAATAAAAAAGACTTTCTGCCTGTGAAAATATTAAAAAGATCAATTGTAACTTAATTTTTCAGAAGCTTAAAATCCCTATAAATACAAAGTCTACTGATAATATGGTTAGAAGACAAGCTCTGTAAAGACACTGAACCTCTAAATCCTGAACATAACATCAAAAAAAATTATTTTTTCAAGAAAGTCACTTAGAAAGTAATGCCAAAGAAAACTGACATATCTTTTATAACAAGACAATTTCCACCATCAAATCAACTTATCTATTGCGGGAAGACAGATGAAATCAAAACACAGTTTAAACTAGTTATTAAAAACCTACCTAAAAATATCAACCCCACCCTTCTTCTTTCAATGCTTGGAAAGGACATAAAATCAAATTTCAGCAAACACGATGCCAACTTCTGGTTAATTTTATTTCCTACTTGTTACCAAAATGAAATTAATGGCTAACTTTAATTAGTGTGTAAAGAATTCAAATCCCTTACATACTCACTAACTTAATTACTATGCCTATATGACAGAAGAGGAAACTAAGGCACAAAAAGGTTAAGTAATTTGTTCAAAAGAACATAGCTAGAAGTAGTGGAGCCATGATTTGAACCCTATACATCCAACATGATAAATGGAGGAATGGGGTGGAAAAAGGAGCAGTTAATTTTTTTTTCCAAAATAGTTTGCAAACTAAGAATGTCGTGAATGAGAACAAAATCTTTAAACTATAAATATACACAGATATGAATGCAGATAACATAAATTTTACCCCTAGACAAGTACTTCGGTGCTTTAATATCTGATTATGGTCAAACACTATAAACTACCTCAAATCGCAGTGGCAGTCGACCAAGTGAAATAATTTACTGTCACTGTTCAGATACTGTATTTTACAGGCTAAATAAAATACATTGTAATTTAAAGGAAGGGGGTGGGGAGTGGTGATGTAACCGGAGCAATAGTCTCAGGAAAACTACTTTCTCTATTAGCAGTTAATTAGAAAAGAGCTTGTGTGTGTCAGGGAAAGAGGGTAAGAAAAGATGACAATCCCACTGCCTTAACCCCACCTCCCAAAAAAGTAACTAAATCACCATGGGTCAGCGCCTAAGCCAAAAGAAGAACTGACCCAGCGGAATCTCGTGAGGGAATGACAGGAGACCCTAGCAGAGGGGGAGGGGTGGCGATGACAGGAGAGGGGGCGGTAGAGAGATGGCATGCCTCCCATCTCCGAAAAAGGGGAGAATACGGGGGGCAAGGGGCGGAGAAGGGAAGGCAGGAAACGTTGCCAGAGATTCCGAAAGAGGTGACAAGAAACAGGGTAGGAAACACAAGAAAGGCGGGACCCTCGGGCAGAAAGGGGTCTGTATGGGGCAAGGGAGGCATGTCAGTACAGAGCTCGCCTGCCAGCTGACCCTCCTCCGCTCCAGCCCCTCCACCCGCGACAAACTCACTTTCTCAGCAACCCTAAACCTGAGCGGGTCAACCCCGTCCCACTCCCCGCCCCCCACCCCAAGCCAGATAGGTGGAGGAGGGAGCTTCACCCTCACTCTCCTTGTTGGGCTGGTGGAGCGAGCGATGGACACAGCCCAGATTCGAAGACGAGAAGGCCAGGAGAAGTAGGGAGGCCCAGGACCCGGCTGACAAGTCCGGGCGGCCGACAGGCGCCTCACCTGACAGAAGCGTCGGCAGTAATCCCGACTGCTGATCCCGACGCCGCCGCCGCCACCACAGCTGCCGCCCCCAGCGACGCCTCTGCCGTCGTCCGCAGCTCTAAGCCCAGTAGGGCCTGGCGGGGACTCCACAATGGCCACGAGCTCTTCTCCGAGGCGTTCGGCCTCTTGGTCGCTCTCTTCCTCCGCCATGAGGCTCTCACCGCCCAGCGCGTACCAGCCCCTGCGCCGCCGCCGCTGTAGCTGCCTCGGCTAACCTCCTCCTCCTCCTCTAGTTCCCTCCCCCTTCCCTCCGCCCGAGCCGGACGGGGGCCTCTCGACTGGCTCTACTTCCGGCTCCGCCCACCCACGCCCCCAATTTTCATTGGACAACTCTAGCCGCCAATCATCAACATGCCCGCCCTTTCACTACCATTGGTCAAATCAGCCGCCTGTTTGATACACCCGCGGTCCGTTGGTCAATGTTGCTCGGCGGTTGCTGGGGACCGCCTACGAGCTCTGCC